CTTCCCCGACGGTGTGGGAGGCCGCGCCTTCCCAAGGGGCCGTCGAGGAGGAGCGGCCTCCCAACACTCTTTTGCGGATCCCGCTCGGGTTTAAGCGGCGAGCCCCGCCGGGGCACTCGCCGCCGAGCCGATCTCACGCCTCGGACGGCGTGGCCGAAGTCGGATGGGCCGAAAACGCGGAGGACAAACGACGTGGGGAGGGCTCCGCGGCGGAGGGGGCGTCGTTTCACGCCTTGGCCTCCGGGTGTGCGATCCCCCGGACGCCCCTGGGGGCCAACGAGGCGGTTGCCGCTCCATCCAAGGCTTTCGCGGCCAGCCCCAGCACCTCCTCGCCGATCTACGCCGTGTCCTCGGCGTCCTCTCAAGGGACCACCGCACGATCGCGAACCACGTTTTTTCTTAAACGAAAAAATTAAACCCTGCGTTTGAAGGCATTCTCATGAAGGAATAATCGCGCCGCTTTCTTGAATTTTCCACTCGGTTTTGATGCGATGCCAGACGCCCTTCAAAAAACGTCCGGGTGGGCCTTTGTAGGATGGCTTCAAACAACGCGTCGATCCAAACATGTAGGGCAGTTTGAGTGTGTTTTTCATCAATGAAGAAGACACCAAGAACTAGTGACAAGGATAAACATTTTCATATTAGATCTATAAATATATATATCTTTAATTGCTTATCTCATTTGCCTAACACGTCATTCTGAAATTGGCAACATTTGTGTTTTATCAAATGCAATATTTTGAAAATAAACTATTCAGGATAAGGTGCCAGATATGCCCCATATATCTTGTCAACCAAAACAAACCAAAACGGACTCCCTTAGTGATTTTACCTTGTGTAATTGAAATATATATCTATTCCCTATGTTGTTGTGGTGGTGGTGGTTTTGGTGTGGGGGAGGAAAGTTCATTTGTCGTGCCTCCACGTTTTTATAGTCTTCACAAGAACGAAGGGCCTCACAACAAGGAAGCAGACAACCCCACATAAAGCCATTTTACCCCATATCTATCCCACTCGGTTAGAACCTCTAGACCCCCAGCGCCGGACTCCCAATCGCCCA